TCAAAGTCAGAGAATGGGTACTTAGGAAGAATGAGTCCAGTCGCTTAGAGCCTTAATGCAAGTTGAGCGTTGTCTAGGAAGGACCGTACAAGGTTGTAGGAGTACACCGAAATGGAGCCTACGCCCTGGAAGCACAAGACGGGAGGTCGATCCCCTGGACGTGGAACACACATAACCTACACCACTTCTACTCATAGACTAAGGATCCAGGACAATGTGACAAGGCTCTGAATGGATAGTCATATCCTAACGGTAGGACAAAGGTCTAGGCTTCAGCAAACCCCATAGCATAGTCCTTTTTTCAGCTCTCGCTAAACGATGTTGATATCCTTTAGAATATTATCCATCGTGTGATAGTAGTTGACCACTCTCCCAAAAAGAAAAAAAACTATTAAGATGGTTTTTATTCGAGCTCGATATAATTCATAAAAAAACAAAGAGGTTGTGTGCATTTACCAAATTTTAACAAGTACTGATCATCCACATCATTTGAGCGAAACCGTTGAAAGAATGCAACTATAGGCTTTAAAGGCTCATAACCTTTCCCTAAACATGTCAATTCAGTGCAAAGGGCCATAACTTTTGAACATGACATGAATAAAGGCTTCAAAGGATCAAATTTTTTCCCTTGTCACACAAAATATGATACCTAAGTCCAGAAGCCTCGAGGTGATGACCTCGGCTCGACTTAGACGACTAAGGTCGGAGTATAAAACTAGCTGGCCCAGGACTTAGAAAAAGGTACTAGAAGTGTAACCAAAAAAACTAAGCTAAAAAGAACACCCTAATAAAATGAATCAGTCATAGTTCATAACTAAAGATTAGCCAAAAGACCATGGGGAAACGCATGATCCAGTAACAAACACAAACCACTGGAGGCTGAGGCAAGCAAGCTTTAAGTAACATCAAATGCCATGATAACCAAAGTAAACAATAATACATAGTATTTACAAGACATCCCCCCAGACTTAAAGGCCATATAGGGCCATGAACAAAATTGCAAAAAAAACACACAAAAACAAACGAACAACATCGTTCAGAGGCAAGGATGATTCAATTACCATGAGGGAGAGAAGATGGACCAACACCTCCTGATCCGCTATCCAAGACTGGTCCTTCGGAGTTGGAATCACAACACAGCTGACGAAGGCTGGTAAGGTCCAACTCGCCCAAGCGAAGGTACGACACGAAGTCCGTTTGAGCACAGGCCTTTATGGAAGCACGCATCGTGTGGGCAGATTGGATCACATCATTCGACTCTGATGGATTAAAATGACCAATAGCCAACTGCTTCCGTACCGCCTCCTTACCGCTCTCCATACCAGCGACCACACATGCAGACTTCATGCGCCGAATCCCAAGGGAAAAATCGCCGCTTTCAATGACACGGTCCACCACACGGATCACCCCCTTCTGGAGGACCCATGCCAAGTCTTCCTCTAAAGTGTTCCTTTTTAATGCCTCACTTTCCATATGTTCACTCTGCTGTCTCAAGCATCCTTCCAACGTTCCCTTATTCGCCTCCAAACACTGCACCTGTTGAGATAGGCGATCCACTTCCATGTCTAGGGTCACCACTTGATCCTCAACGGCGGACTTCTCCCCAGCTAACATGGTATAGCGCTCGTAAAATTTGCATCTTTCCTCTTCAAAGAGCCACACCTTATCTGCAAGTTCGTCACGTTCAATCTTGATCGTGGCCAACTCCGCCAAGTCGGCTCTAATATAACGAAGACGACCGGATGCAACCACTAAGTAAGGAGCAACCTAAGTCGCGACATACTGAAGATCGCTTTCCATGTGGGAATAAGAACGGAGGTTCAATGCTTCCAAAGTGGCCAGAGGAAATGCATGACGACACCACTCACGAGCACCGCCTTGTTCCGTCAATAGGGATCCGTGGGTGAGATTCCACTCGGGGAGATACACACCAGGAGTACCCAACGATGAAGGACCAGCACCATGGAAAATATCACCTTGGATGGGTGAGGAAGCAGAACCTAAAGTTGGGCCCCTCACTCCTCATTCCAACTAAAAGGGCTGTTCAGTTGCCCCATTATTCTCTCCCTCCAATGGCTAAGAAATGTCGTCATCAACAATATCAATCACCAAGGGGGATTCCATAAGAAAAGAATCGATGTTGTCTCTCTTGTGCATGCGTTTACAAATAGTATTGGCACCCACACCTTCTGTAAGCACAGAATCCACTGACGCCATCCGTTGATTGAGGGCCACCCGCCCGCCATCGACCGACGACCCCTTAGTAGTAGGGCGCCCGGACAAGCGAGACAGAGGAAACCAGAGTCGACAGGAATGGCAGACCCCACCCCATCGCAACGGATGGGACGACGGATATGGCCACCTGAACAGTGCCGACAGGAGGCGGAAGAGTTTCCACCAAGGGGAGTTCGCGATACTAAAGGTCACCCTTAAAATTCCCACGCAACACCCCCTCGAGGGAAAAAACCCTCTCAATGCCTACAAATGAAACAACAAAAATCGAACAACTATCCTACTCCCCAAGAGAAGCCCCTCAAAAAGGGGAGGGGAGGAGCAGGGAATTGATCCATACCATCCTTTTCCACGTAAAATTGACGCATCATTCCTCATGCCCGCCAAGCAGCACTCATCCTTGCTGCCACCAGAATGCAATCCTGTCAATCTTCACCGTTGAAGCAGATCCCCATCAACGTTTCAGCCACGGATAAACTGGTGCCCGACAGCTGAGGCGCCCGATCTGAAGTGATAGGTACGTGGGGATAGGAAGGTCCAATCAAGTCGTTGTTGACTCATAACCACCGGTCCTGCCAGTTCTTACGAGGTGCCTTCTTGATGGGTTTGAGCCATAAGAACTTTCCTATGTGCACATGCAACCCTATGCTGGACTAGTTTCTCTAATTGAACATGTAATTTATCCAAGTCTTGCAAACCCTAGATCTAGTGAGTATAATTCAAATTTAATGAGACAAATCAGATCTAGATGATTACCTCTCTCGTTGCTTGCTTGAATCTTCTTCTTCTTGGAGCTTAGAGTCACAATTTGTCTTCACTCCTCTAAGGCTTACAAACACCAACTAGCAAGAGGATGATTTGGAGAGAGGATGTAGGCACAAAATCGGCTCTAGGAACTCCTTAGGGTTTCTAGTAGCCGATTTCTGTGACAACCCGAAATTTCTATTATGTACAACCATTCACTTCAATAGAAGTCAGAACAGTTTCTGCTAACTTTTGAGCTGTGTAGAGACAGTTTGAGTGTTCTAAAGCCTAGTACTTCAGGAGATAACAGGAGAGAGGATGCCCTAGGGTTTATTGTGCAACAATAATGTCCTAAAACCCAAGAGTTTGGAGTTTACGGCCTAAACAAGGTCTTTACGGGCCGTAAACCCTAAGGGGGTATAAATATGACACTTAGTCATATTTACCACTTTTTCACATTTCAAGATCCAAAACTCAAATCCTCTCAAGTATCATCCGATTTTCCTTCTTGATCTTCAACTTGGTAAGTGTTTCTTACCCTAAAAAGTTGATATCTTACTTAATCTAGTGAACTTACATGATTCATCCATGAAAATCATTCCATATGTGTAGATCTTCAAGTTTCACCAAGAACACCAAGAACACACACTAGTGTTCTTGGACTTTTAACCACCTTTTCAAGCTTCTACATAGTAAGTACATTCTTACCCTAGTGTGTTATAAGACTTGCTACACTCTCTAATCATCTAGAAAACATAAGGAAACACAAGATCAAAGGTGTTTACGGTCCCAAGATGTTCTTGGACCGTAAACCATAATGAAGGGGCCAAAGTGTGCCCTAGTCCCTTACCAAGCCTTGGATACTAGTCTAGATACCATCCTTGATGTGCTTAGGACTTAAACATCAAAAAGACCATAAACCAGTTGGGTTACGGCCGTAAACCCAAGGAGAATGGTCCAAGGACCGTAAACTCCACAAGGGGTGAAATGGTGTGCCTTATCACTTCCTAAGGCTTAAACATGAAGTAGGAATGCTTCTTATGACCTTTAAAGCTTCAAAACACAAAATGGTAAAGTACCATGAGTTTACGGCCGTAAACTCATGGTTTACGACCGTAAACTCAATGAGAGTTGGTCCCAAACCGTAAACTCAAAAGAGTTTACCCTTGGACCCCAAAACTCAATAGCCAAGTCCTACAACCCTTAGATGCAATCCTTAGTACTTATAACACTTAAATCAAGTGTTTTACATGTCTTAGGATGTCTTAACTTGGTTAATTAGTTACTAAATGACTAATTGGATACATATATGTGTGATTATATGTTAACTAGGATCCTTGTGTGTGTTCAAGTCTTCACTTGACACTTAGCATCCTATACTATCCGTTCATCCAACCACTCACTACAGGTGAGTTCATACCCCTTAATCAATCTTTTAAATGATTTTAAATGCTTTTATGGGGGGGGGGATACAAGTTGATATTTTATAGTTATTATATCAATCACATGTGATTTAATAACTACCAAACAAGTGGATTTCTTACTTTTCAAACTGTGTTATCAAACAAACTACTTTTCAAACTTTTGTTAAACTTTTTACATGTCCAATACTCTTATCAAACTCTTTTACATATCAAATACTTTTACTTAAACTCTTTTTAACTTATATTTTGTTAAATGTATATCTTTATAGATATAGTTATATAAGTAGGATTGAAAGGACTTAGGACTGATAACTCACCTTAACCTCCTGTTCCTCGTTTGGTTGTGGACTTAGGGTATCGGTTATTTATCCGAAGGTCATTTGAATCCTAGTTATTAGTATGTGTATATGTATATAGATATAAAAGTTCCTTCTTTCTATTCAATACCTTTGGGTAGAAAGGTATACAAGATGTGTCATACATACAAATCACATTACTAGTAAGCTACAATAGGCGTAGTTTAGGAAGTTACTAATACTATTACTAGAACAATGGAACATACAAAGAGTCAGTTCATACATGAGTCCTACATTACAATACAGCTAGTACATACTATACATTTTACAAGAAACATTACATGCTAGACAGAGAGAGAACCATACCATACCATACAGAGAAACAGACATACATACTAGAAAGAGAGAGAACACACAATACAACTAGTACATTCAATACATATACAAGAATACTATTACAGTTATGTGAGCCACGTAACGGGGCATGGCACTACCTGTCATGACCGTTTTGTATCCAGAATCTCCTTAAGTGGGGAGCGTATGAGTTTGTGTATAGATCTATACTGGATTGACTATCCTACACCTTGCTGCTCGCTACAGTGGGACTTGCAAGTCTACGGGTGCCAAACGTCATTTCTTCCGACATCTTACATTGTCGCGTTCTATAGTCGGTAGCAGGGTACAGGCCGATCACATGGTACTTTAAATTACAATTGGTTTAAGGTAGTTAGTACAGCAGTAGTTACTTAATACAATACTACAATACTATTTCATTTTCCCATTGCATCCACTTTGTGTTCTTCACACAATTAACAGTAATGTAGAAACTATATTTTTGGTAAATAATAGTCAGATTGGGAAAATAAATACTCTTACAAGAGACACACACACAGATACTAGATGCCTTGTTAGAAGGCTACTTTTAGTAGGAAACATAGGGTTTTCTAGGAGATTCAAACCTTTTTACAAATTCACACATCACTTACTTACAAATACTTTCATACAAATACAGACATTAATATACTTATGATCTCACCAGCTTTAAAGCTGATACTCTCTTTCAAAATAACTTGTATCCTCACGTCGCCAGTTGACAGATACCGATGCCAGGTTTTGAGAAGCTGGAGCTCGTTCAAGACTCATCTTTTATTTTGATTCATATTTTGGTGTCTATTTAACTTGACGGAACACACTTGTATTAAAATTATATTATTAATGCAATGGATGATGTTGTTGCTTGTTTACTACTTTGCATTGTTGTGATACTGTACATGACGTCCTCCACCCCTGAACGATTCCGCCGTTCCGGTTTTAGGGTGTGATAGATTGGTATCAGAGCATTGTTTATAGTGAATTGAGCATATCAACCCATAAAAGATATATAGACTATAAATACAATGGGATTAAAATACTCTGACTAAGAGTTTATACTTTTAAATAATAAAATATTTAACTAAGTATACATGCCTGCATTCATACTAAAATCAGTGTCACTAGGACAAAACAAAAGTATTACGATTGTTGGGCAGCACAAGTAGACTTAGAGATATATAGTCAAATCTGGGAAGATATAGCCTGATCAACTATATTATCTGAGGAGTGACCAGCATGTGCCTAAGTGTGGTTGTGAGGTTGCAACAAGTCTAAAAACTTACCAACAATACCACAATGAAAACAATAGAACATAACATAAACTTAAAATACTATAGGGGTATTTTGTGTTACTATAAACTACTTATGTGCTAGTTTCTTATATCCTTTTTCTTGCATAGATATCATGGTTGGATTCCATCTTCCCGGAGACCCGTACTACCTCAACAACGGCAATGCTGGATGGCTTGGAGAATAGCCAGAAGATGATCACCCAATCCCTTTGGATGATCACGAAGCTGAAGGCTTTTTTGATGGTTCTGACTCA